AGGCGTACGCCCCCTGTCTGGGCCAATATTTAGTGAACGCATCCACCGCTACGCACTCCGGGTCCGGGAGCCAGCTGTAAAATCTTGGTAGTTGATGGTTGCTGCGTGACGCGAAGAGGTCGAGGGTGAATGGTCCTCTCTGTTCGTTCAAGTGAGCGAATATCTATGTGTTTAATTGCCAATCGCTGGCGTCCCTCCAATGTCGTGAGTACCAGTCCACGGTGAAGTTCGACTCCCCTGGTACGTGTTCGGCCTTGATCGAGATGTTGCGCGGGAGGCAATAGTCGAAGATCTCTTTCGTCAAATTGGCTAGTGTTTGGGAGCGAGTCCCTCCCAGGTGGTTGATGTAACGTACTGCAGAAAAGTTGTCCATCCGCAGTAGGATGCAGCAATTGGATAGCCCTTTTGCCAGGCTTCGAATGGCGAAGGATCCGGCTAATAGCTCCAGACAATTGATGTGCATGGTGAGTTCCTGATTCGTCCAGGTCCCACCTGTGGATGTTGATCCATCTGTGGCGCCCCATCCCCATCGGCTCGCATCCGATTCTAGAATGAAGTCCGGGTGATTGCCGAAGATGGCTCGACCATTCCATGCCTGCATGCAGTTGAGCCACCACTTGAGTTCCTGGCGTACCTCGTCCGTCAGAGGAACCGGTTGGTTGTATGTGGGGTTTTGTCTGAGGAAGCGGGCTTTCAACCTTTGCATGGCATGAAAGTGTAGGGGTCCCGGAAATATGGCCTGGATGGAGGAGTATAGAAGACCCACGATCCGTGCTAGTTGTCGGAGGGGAATGGATTCAAGTTTGAGGACGTTGCGTATTTCTTTTCTGATGGCCGCTACTTTGGTTTTCGGCAGGTGGAGAGTGCAGGATCTGGAGTCTATTTCGAAGCCCAGGAATTGAATTGTGCGCGTGGGGTTCAGTGCAGATTTGTCCCTGTTGACAATAAATCCCAAAGATTCTATCAGTTGAATCGTGTATTCGGTATGGCGTGAAGCCCTTTTGCTTGTGTTGCAGAATACGATTATATCGTCTAAATAGATGATACATCTGATTCCTCGAGTCCTGATGTGGGCCACTACCGGTTTCAGCATTTTCATGAAGCACCAAGGTGCTGAGCTGAGGCCGAAAGGGAGGCAAGTGAACTGCCACGGAGATCCGTGCCATAGGAAACGAAGGAGTGGTCGGCTGTCTATGTGAATAGGGATCGATAGGTATGCGTCTTTGAGGTCCAGATGCGTAAACCAGTCCCTTTCTTGTAGTATTTTCCTTAGTAGATGTATGCCCTCTATCTTGAAATGGCGATAGACAACGTGGGCGTTCAGGTCCCTTAAATTGATCACCGGTCGGCAGTCTCCGGTCTTTTTCCGCACGAGGAACATGTCGCTGAAGTACCCCCAGGGGTGTGTGCAAGTTGTATTGCGCCTTTTTTGAGGAGCTCGCATAGTTCCAACTCTATAAGTTGGGAGTCCGTGTTGGTGAAGCATAGGGGGCGTGGAGGCCCTTGCTGAGTGGGCGTGATTGTAGTACGATGCGGTAGCCTCTGACCGTTTGTAACACCCACGCGCCCGTGGTGAGACCTGCCCAATTCTGGGAAAAAAGAGAAACACGGCCGGCCGGTTAGTAAAGACATAGGTGTGTTTGGTTTCCTTACCTGTGGGAAATCTTGCGCGGGTACGTCCGTTCCCCTTTGGAAGTGGGAATAGGATTGTCTCGCTCCCGAGTCCGGATAGGACAGTTGTGGGTAGAACTGTTGTGGAGGTCCAGTGCGGGTGCCTGATGGCCAGAAGCAGCTGGTGGCACGGCCCCTTTGCCGACCAGCCCTGGAAAAAACACCCCTGGAGGGGTTGCCTCTGAATACCTTTCTCATAGAGATACGAGCTTTGTTTAGGGACGTGAATACATTGACGTGTTTATTGAGCTCCTTCATAAAAGCCTCTCCGAAAAGTTTGTCCTGTGCCTGCGGGCCTAGTTCTTTTACCCCAAGGTCGGCCAACAGTGCTGCGCGGTGCCGTTCTGTTGAAAGGGCCGCATTGGTATTCCCCAGGAAGCAGAAGCCACGCTGGGTCCATTCTCTAATATCATGCGCCCAGTTGAGGACCATGTCCGCGGTAAAAGAGTCCGCTCTAGTATAGGCGTCATCCGCCAGATACATCACTTGGGCTAGTGGCCCCATTGCATCTAGGAGCTTGTCTTGCGCCCCTTTAAAGCTCCGTTCGATCCCCTTGCGTGGATCGCGACCACCTCTCTCCATAAACGTCAGCATGAGCTGATCGAACTCTGGCGTAAACGTCACCTTGTCTGGCAGGGAGGGTCTAGGGCACTCTGCCCGCATCCTCTTACGGACGTGCTTCTCTAGCGGTTTCTGGATCCAGAAGTGCATAAACTTCACAAGGTGGTCGGGTGGAGCCCTGAGGAAAGATGTGTAAAGAGGGGTCCCGGTCAGATTGCCTCAGAAGGGAAAGCCCTGGGGAACCCAACGCCCTGATAAAACCCCCCACAAGTTAACCCTGCCCCACACAAATTAAGGGAGCCCCTACCACCCCCAATGTAAGCACTAATCAGTGCATTAAACAATTATAACATGGAATTAAAGAAGCAGCTCTGACTCTGACCTGACTTGTGATGGAGCAGCAAAGAAAAGGAAATGATGGGCTATGCGTGAACTTATATGTTCTCTGTTTCATTCTGATTGGTTCTTTCTTTAACAGTTTTTTTTTCTTTGCTGCTATGGAGCTAGTAAAGAAAGTTAATGCAAAATATGAAGTCTCCTGTCATGTTATAAAATTGTAGAAAAACAACAGTAGAACTCAGGGCTATGTTTAATAGTGAAAGTAAGAGCATTTCCACATGCAAAGGGAACTCAAGGGATTGGGACTGAACAGCTGTGTAGCCTTAAGAAAACCACTAAAAAGTGAGGCTAATCGGAATAAAATGCTTTAATTTGCTAGGGAGCATAAAGATTGGACTCTGGAGTAATGGAAGAAGGTCATGTGGTCTGATGAGTACAGATTTACCCTGTTCGAGAGTGATGACAGAAGAGAGGCAGATGACCCATCATGCCTAGTGCCTACTGTATAAGACTTTGGGGGCAGTGTTATGATCTGGGGTTGCTGCAGTTGGTCAGGTTTAGGTTCAGCAACATTATGTGCCCAAAGAATGAGTCAACTGACTACCTGAATATACTGAATGGCCAGGTTATTCCATCAATGGATTTTTTTCTTCCCTGATGGCATGGGCATTCGAAGATGACAATGCCAGGGTTCAAATTGTGAAAAAGTGGTTCAGGGAGCATGAGACATCATTTTCACACATGGATTGGCCACCACAGAGTTCAGACCTTAACCCCATTGAGCATCTTTGGGATGTGTTGGAGAAGGCTTTGCGCAGTGGTCCAACTCTACCATCATCAATACAAGATCTTGGTGAAAAATGTATGCAACACTGGCCGGAAATAAATCTTGTGACATTGCAGAAGCTTATCGAAACAATGCCACAGTGAATGCCTACTGTAATCAAAGTTAAAGGCGGTCCAACAAAATATTAGAGTGTGTGACCTTTTTTTTGGTGGCAACTTTTTTTTTGGCCAGGCACTGTATAATCACAATCATTCAATAAAAGAAATGTTTTTGCATGATCAGTCATATTTTCAAAATCAATGCCAAAATTTCACAATTTCTGCCAGGGTATGCAAACATTTGAGCACAACTGTACATAATACAATATTAAATAAGAATAAAATATTAAAACAAATAAACACATTTAGTATTAGTTTTACATTTAATAGTGCAACAAATAAAAAATGACTCAATATAGATTCCCTAATTAGTCCTGATCGTAAATATGCATCATATGTCTAGTATTTCAATACATTTTTTTAGTGAATTACAGTTTAAAATGTAAAACTTTGCACAAAACTTTTATTTTAGTCACAGAATCCAAAACCACTACAAAAACAAATATATTTGTAGAAAGTACTATGGCTATTTAGCCAAGACCATTTTGACACTTTATTTAAGTAAATACAGCCCGCAGACTATTTAACTATTACTATTTGACAATTTCCATTTAACCATTTTATCAATTGTGGGTTTTTTTCACACAAGTTTTATTGTGAAATTCACAGACCATAATTGTCCCACTACTGCAAACATAGCATATTTGTATTCTGATACTATTCTTGATTACAGTCATAAACAAAATTATAACATTTTACCTATTTTTACCCCTATTCCATTCCCTAATCCAACCCATTATCTTTTCCATACAACTACCAATAATCCTACATTTTATCCAACCCTTAATCCTATCCATAATCAAACCCCTATCCTACCCATAATCTAATCCACAATCCTAGGTCCTAATCTTGCCCCTTATCCCACCTCAGAGGGACTCCTTCTGCTGACACCAATACAGGCATCAGTAAAGGGATTTACCAGCTCACACAGTACAGAGGGCTATGTGAGCACTCTGTACTGTGTGACTGAAGCATGCTGCAGCTCCAGGAACTGAGATCAGTGGTGGGCAACTGGCAATACTCAGCACGAATCACCAAGCAGAGGGACATGTGTGGACACCCTGGTGGTCTCCCTCAGACTGAATACACTTTTAAAATCAAGGGGGCCGTGTGTGATTGCTCAGCCATGGTAATGGCTTTAAATGAAAGGGGCATGTTCAGCACAAACCTAATGGCTACTGTCAAATGGGGGCCACTAATTGTAGTTCTAGCTGACAGAGGACACCCTTATGTATCGAAAGACACATGTGGCACCCTGATTTTAACTGTGGGAAGGCTTAATCAGTCGCAGTATTTAAAAGGCCATGTGCAGTACTCACATAGCTCACCTGTCAACCTGGGACCACTAAATGTAGCCCAGGATGACAGAGAGGACCCTCAGATAACAAAATATAATTGGGGGTCCCTGTTTTTAACTGTGGGAAGGCGTTCACAAAGCTGCAGTATTTAAACGGATTTAAACCAGGGGTCCTCAAAATCCAGCCCCCCAGATGTTGCTGAACTACAACTCCCATGATTCTCTGGCTATCTATCTAATTCAAAGAATCATGGGAGTTGTAGTTTAGCAACATCTGGGGGGCCGGAGTTTGAGGACACTTGAAACCCTGCACATTTAGAGATATTAGCACTTTTGTGCCAGGGGCTAGTTGCACCCCCAGCACTTATGACATTGGCAGCCTTGGACTCTGTTATGGACATCCAAATGTCAATTCTGTGCAAAAATAACATCTGTCAGCACGCACTACATGCTGGCAACAAAAGCATGTGATTTTTCACTTGCAGGCATACTCACTTTCCTGCCTGCAAGAGAAGCTTCTGGACTGTGTGTGTGCTTGATTTCAGGTACGTTGAATACTATTTAACCCCTTCAGGACGGGTGACGGACGAGGTCCGTCACACAGGGGAGACCCTTAACGACGGGTGACGGACCTCGTCCGTCACGCGGTAAAATTAACCCCGGATCGCCGCTATCGCGGCGATCGCGGGGTTAATGGTGCTCCCGGTATGCCTCTGCATTGGAGGCATACCGGGAGCACCCGGTCAAGCTGCCCAGCACATGTGCTCGCTCTGACCACAAGTCGGAGCGAGCACATGTGCTCTGAATACTTACCTACCGGCTCCCTGCACTTCCGGGTTCTGTGTGAAGTGCAGGGAGCCGGATCAGTGCTGATCCTGCCCCCTGCTGTAAAAAAAAATAAAGTTAATTTAAAGTGTCCCCCCCCTTACCCATTTTAATAAAAAATTAACCCCTTCCCTGCCAATTGATCACTGACTACAGTGATCAATTGGCAGGGATTACATTTTACTATGATCTGATTTTTTTTTTTAACCCCTGAGGGTTAATTCTTTTTTTTTTAACCCTCAGGGGTTAAATTAATTAAATTAATTAATTAAATTATTTTTAAATTATATATTTAGATAGCTGGGGTAGGTGGAAGTTAGTGGGGAATTGGGGATTTGACGTTAGGCTAACTAGGGGTTAACGTTAAAAAAAAGTTTTAAAAGAAACTTTAAAAAGTTAAAAATTAAGCTTAAAAAAATGTTTTAATAACATTTAAGTAATAAAAACAAAAAAAACACTTTACCTAGTCCAAATAAAAATTAACCCCTTCCCTGCCAGTCGATCACTGCCTACAGCGATCAAATAGAGATCACAGTATTATACTGTGATCTAATTTTTTTTAACCCCTGAGGATTAACTTTTATTTATTTTTTTAACCCTCAGGGGTTCAATTTATTTAATTAATTAATTTAAATATTTTATAACTATATATTTTGCTAGCTGGGGTGGGTGGGAGTTATGGGAAAATGGGGAATTTACTGTTAGTGCTGCGTACTGCTAGTTAGGGGTTAACAGTAAAAAAAATAGCTTAGAAAAATGTTAAATCTGTAAAAAAGTTTTAAGAAAGTTTAGGAAAGTTTAAAAAAAATTTATAAGCAAAACAAAAGTTTAAAAACTAGTTTTTAAAAGTAAAAAAGTTATAAAAAGTAAAAAAATACATTTTAAAAACGCTCATTACCACTACACCTGGAACAAACTAGAGAAAAAATTATCCCACGCCAAGGTTCAAAATATGCCTTTTGAATTACCCCAGGGTGTATTCTTTAATAAATAGTATGTGTTTGTGGGGAAGTTTCAATAACCAACCGTCTAAACTATTCCAAATTGGAACATGGACACAGCGTAAAACTTCAAAGTTAGAAAAAAACTGAATGGCTGCGTCTCAAATGCGCCCCTTCAACATCCACATATACCTGGCAAAGGTACATACGGGGGTATTGCTGTACTCAGCCGACATAGCTGAGCAACATATGAAGTATTATACAGTCATAGTACACATAAGGTTTGCAAAATATGCTGCGCAAACTCACTTTGTATGTCAAAAAGGCAGAAAAATGCTTATTACCACTACACTTGGTACAAGCTAGCGGAAAAATGATCCCACGCTGAGGTTCAAAATATGCCTTTTTGAAATACCCTGGGATGTCTTCTTTAAGAAATGGTATGGCTTTATGGGGAATTTGGATTATATAGCCTGGTAAAATACTCTAAAATGGGACATAGGCACAGCATAAAAATTCAAAGTTTGAAAAAAACTGGAATGGCTGTGTCCCAAATGTGCCCCTCCGATGTCCACACATACCTGGCAAAGGTACATACGGGGGTATTGCTGTACTCAGCCGACATAGCTGAGCAACATATGAAGTATTATACAGTCGTAGCACACATAAGGTTTGCAAAATATACTGCGCAAACTCACTTTGTATGTCAAAAAGGCAGAAAAAATGCTTATTACCACTACATCTGGTACAAGCTAGCGGAAAAATGATCCCACGCTAAGGTTCAAACTATACCTTTTGAAACACCCTGGGGTGTCTACTTTAAGAAATGGTAGGCCTTTGTGGGGTAGATTGAATTTAAAACCTGCGAAGATGCTTGGAAATTGCACATAGGCCCAGCGTCAAAATTCAAAGTTTGGTAAAAACGGATATGGCTTGGTCTCCTATATGGCACTGTAGCTTCACAAAATAGTGACAAAGACATTCATTGGGGGTGTATTTTTACTCAAAAGACTTAGCTGAGCATAATTTGGGAGGTTTGAACTTAGTGGCACATATGAAATATACAAAACGCCCAGCAAAAATGCAATCCGTATGTAAAAAATGCACAAAATAATTTTTTTACCACATACTTTGGCATATATTGGTGAAAAAATGGGGGTATGTTAAGGCACAATATGCACCTTATGAGATACCCTGGAGTGTCTACTTTTACAAATGGTAGGCCTTTGTGGGGGTTTTTTGAACAGTCAAACTGTTATAATACCCCAAATGGAAGCTAAGGCTCATTAAATCCATCTCTCAAAATTCTACTGTGAATACTGTAAAGGACAGGTCTCCTATATGGCACTGTAGCTTCACGAAATAGTGCCAAAGACATTCATATGGGGTGTCATTTTACTCAGAAGACTTAGCTGAGCATAATTTGGGGGGTTTGAACTTAGTGGCACATATGAAATATACAAAACGCCCAGCAAAAATGCAATCCGTATGTAAAAAATGCACAAAATTTTTTTTACCACATACTTTGGCATATATTGGTGAAAAAATGGGGGCATGTTAAGGCACAATATGCACCTTATGAGATACCCTGGAGTGTCTACTTTTACAAATGGTAGGCCTTTGTGGGGTTTTTTTGAACAGTCAAACTGTTATAATACCCCAAATGGAAGCTAAGGCTCATTAAATTCATCTCTCAAAATTCTACTGTGAATACTGAAAAGGACAGGTATCCTGTATGGCACTGTAACTTCACGAAATAGTGCAAAGACATACAATGGGGGTGTCATTTTACTCAGCAGATGTAACTGAACACAAAATAAAACTTTGTACAGGAATAGCACACACCAACTTTACAAAATATACACGAGAATTTCTCTGTTATAAGTTTGTGTGCCAAAAACCAAAAAGAACACAATTTTACTCCAATATTTAGCAGAGGTTGGCGGTAATATGGCTACGTAGAAAGTGTCAAAACAACCTTAGGTAAATAGCCCGTGATGTCTACTTTATATAAATATATACTTTTGTGTGGCAATTTTGTTTTCTTTTATGGCTATTAAGCTTACAAGACAAACATACCAAATTCTAAAATCGCTCCACATTAAAATTTATTTTACTCCTTGTGCTTTGTGACCTGTAACTACCAAAAAAAACTTAAAATCCCAGACACATTATATATTCTGTAAATCAGAACAAATAAATAAATTTATTTTTAATTACTTTCCTTAACCTGCACTAATTATGCACACATTATTATTGCAAAAACTGTAAAAAAAAACAATATTTTTCATTTTTTTTGCATTTTTCTGTATTTTTTTTATAATAAGTAAGCATTTATATATATATATATATGTTATATCAAATTAAAGCCCTTTCTGTCCTTTAAAAAACAGTATATAATATGTGTCGGTGCAATAAATGAGAGAGATGCAAATTGCAGTTGAACGCAAACAGCAAGAAAATGCAAAAATTGCTTGTGTCATTAAGCATAAGTCAAGCTTCTGAAGCTGTGTCCTTAAGGGGTTAAAGAGATTTTACTGGCAAAAAATGGGTGGAAGTGATGACAAATAAAACGACTGAGATTGTCAAATACTTTTTAAAATAGTTATCAATATATAGATGTTGCTGTAACCCTTTGAAGGAACTTCATCTACTCCTTGGTAATTGTTCCTGTGTATAGTGTGAGTCCCTATCAAGATTTCTATATTAAATGCCTTTGCAGCTCCATCTAAATTCAAAGCCTTTTAGTGAGTGTTACTTTGCCACTAAGAGACAAGTTCAGCATTGTGTTTCCATGCCAGTCTGGTGTAAATTATTTGTAAGTATGCCTTAAATTCATTATAGTGCTATCCTTTCAGCATTCATGCATGTTATTAAGCTTCTGTTCGTAAACCAAAAGATTTTACAACATTTAAAGAAATATTTCAAGTACCAAAACCACTTCATCTTAATGAGGGGGTTTGGGTACATAGACTAGACTATGTCTCTTTTGTCTGGCAATATAAATCATTGCTATTTCTAAGAAACGGGAACGTTTATATTTTTCCCAAACCACACCTCTAGAGTTTGCAAACAGATAGGCAGCAGAGGCTCTTCCTCATTGAAGACATTGAATTTTTAAAGCATTATTATTATTAGCATATATATATAGCACCAACATATTTCACTGTGCACAAGTGAAAGGATAGCCATTCAGTTATTTTTTTCATTTTCGTTAGTTTGGCCTAAAATTTCTAACTCAATTGTGATTTGTACACAATTCCAGGGTTAGTAAATAGCCTACATGTGTATGCAGAGCCTCTACATGCACTCACCAGACAAGGAATTGTGTAGAATTGCCAAAATAAATGGGCAAAATAGTTTCATCACTTGATTTGTTCAGCCCAAAATGTACTATTTCTACGTGAGTTCTCTACAATTTCCACCTAGCTCACTAATCTAAAAATGGGTACTAATATATCTATTGGTCTGGAACATTTGAGCAAGCAAGGCAGTACATTTTAATTAACAATGC